TGTATGCATTGTGCACCAGAGTAGAAAATGACTTGCATTGGAGAAATAAGCTTGGACAACAGCACATCCATATAAACAAGTGTGTAGTGCAGAGTGGCTCGCAACATCTGAATAATTCCCCTTTGTTCACTTGCATTGAAGCCTTGTTTTCAGTTATTTTCCTCACGTTAACCTCTGTGAAATAAGTTGCACAGTGCGATTAAAAATCAGTGCAAATGTTTTGATTCCTTCCCTGACAAAAGAAGAAACAAGGCAACAGTTTGATGAAAGTTATATCGTCTCAATCTTCATGAGTTATTGCTAGAGCCAGGGTACTCTTTTCAATCAATTTACGGTAGATTATTGATATTTTGTATTACAATCAGCTGCGTTAATTTAATTTTGATCGTGCTTGTTATTTATGACTGTAACTGTGCAACAGATGTCAAATGAAAAACAACAGACAAACAATTTTGGTATTTCCAATCGATTGTCTCAAAGTGCTGGAAGCTCCCTTGTTTGCATTTCAGTGTTTAAATTTGCAACCCAGGCCAGTCGAGCAGTCAAGTTGTTTTATAAGCTCTTGCTGACAGATTGAAGGACTCTGTTGTTTGCTAGCGTTTGGTTTTGTTGGATGGTTTATGCTCAACATATTGATGTCAGATTTTGTTGGACATTCTTCACACATTACTGTTGCCAGGTTCTGTTGAATGTTGTTAGATTCTATGGGATTATGTAGGATTCACACTTGGGCATTGATTCCTTTGAATTAGCAATGTGTCTCAACTGTAATGTAGAATTTGCAGTGTCACATATTTAGCTACTGGCATGCTCTAGTCCTCAATCCTTGAAAAGCCACTGGTAGAAGGGTTTGGAGATTGATGGAGAGCCTAGCTTCTCAGTCCTTCTCGTACGGGTACTTTTATAGGGGCCTTACATTTACATCAACTCTGATAAAAATGTCTGATTTGTTCATTTCCACAGCCTGTAATTTTGGGGTTTGAAAGCTTAAATATACGTAAATGTCAGATGAATATTCTGAAGATTATTAAAACGGCTTTCGTATCCTGCTTGGAAATAGCAAACTCATTCCAATTCTTACATTATGCATGTAGATTCCACTTTGATGCACTGGGGAACTCGTGGGAAAAGGTAAATTGACTTATCAGAGAAGACATTTCACTCGGCTCTATATTTAGTCTTCATTGAAATGCAACTGTCTCATACAGTGAGTCGAACCCTTGCCATTTTTGATCTGTCGCCTCTTCCTGTGACTTCCTAGAATTACTGGAGGAAACACTTTCAACAAATAATACTGATAAATAAAGTGGTGTTCATCACTGGCATGTAGAGCCACCAGTTTGCCCAGAAAAAACTGTAGCTATCCTTTTGCGGGTCAACATTTGGATGCACTACTTTGTGAGTTATAAATACTCTACACACATTTACATAAACATCAACCTACTTTGTTTAAATTTTTAAGCATTTTTTGTCAGAATTAAATCATGATTGTCAAAAAGGATGAGTAATGGTTTGTGTAATTAAAGTAATAATTTCAATAGAAACTGTTGAATGTTTTTGAGCCTTTTGTGTTTCTCCAACATACCCCATGTGGGTGGTTCACCCCAGTTGTCTAGGGGTCGGTGGATACACACTAGCAAATGAATTCAGAAATACCTGTACACATTACATGATCATCGCACTCAGGCTGTTGCATAACTCTTAGGCACCTTACTTGATAGCCTTTATTGTACAAGGTGTGTCCTTCATGTACACCAGTCAGTAAGTCCGACTTGACGGATAAGCCAATCGGACCCCCCCAGTCGTTGATATGTAGTTATTCATAATTGCACAGGAACAATATGATCTTGCATAATCCACCAATCGAAGTAGTCAGACTTGGAATTTCAGCAATCCAAGTAGTCAGACTTGTTTATTATAATGCAGGTATTAACGATGTAAACACAAATCCGGCAATTTGATTGGCTGCTACCTGTTGTGGGAGATGAGCTGATTCGCTGTGTGCAAATGGCTGTCAGATGTGTCAAGTTGGCATTTCTGAATTCTAATCAATAATTGAACACATGAGGGCGGAAAGTAAGTAACGCCGCCCAGCCTCCATATCCGAAGTATAAACCATTCATCCCTATTACAATGGAGATCAATAACATAACCACAGACATCACAGAGGATCCTGACTTGGTCAAGTCTAATATTCTTTGGCATTTATCCTAGGAATTACATGTGCAACACAGCTGTGAGACAACCGTGGCCAATGTTTTATACTGGATGCGTGTTTCTCCAAGAATCATGTGCTATTCTATATGTAATGAAGTCAAGATGGGGACAGTACAGATGCAATGTTTCTGGTAGATTTTCAGCTTGGATCACGATGGTTAGATTCCCAACCTGATGCAAATGGGTCAGAGTGGTGTAATTGTGACATCAGAGGCCCCTGCCTGTTTTGTGTCAGAGGTAGTCTGTCAGACTTCATGATGGTTACAAGCTGTCACAATAGTGCTGTGACCTTTGAACTAAATATTGATCTAACTGTGTGCATGTGGGTTAACATGCCATACCATCATCTGCTCAAATAGCTTTGTAATGTCCTTGGCTTGCCAGCATGATGTTGGACTTGTGAGACATCAGTTAGGGTCTGTCCATGATTCATGAAATGTCTCAGAAAACTGTTACAATTAAAAGCTAACCTTGCCATCGTCAGTACCTCAAATGGTGTAGAAAGGGTTTGTGATAGAGGTGTAGAACATTGCATTGGATTGTTTGTGTGGCCTGAACCCTCAGGGATGTGTGACAAATTGCATGAAAATCATTGGATTTGAGACTGTTCAGGTACTTTTAGATAACTTTAATTGGTGACTTCAACTCCTTTGTGGGATATGAAGGGGCAGTGCTTATTGTGGTCCTATAGTGAGCCCTTGGCGTCATGTTGAGATGTTTGAGATCATCCCTCAACTGGTATCTGGCTGATGTTTTTTCAGCCCAAGCTGTGCAGACTCCAATGATTTGACCTACCCTATGCAGGGAATCAGGTAGCTGAGCATTGCTGCAAACCTGGGCTGGGAACCGGGAAGCTAGGAACTACTAGTACTGTGAACCTGAACAATGGCATTGTGGGATTGATGCAGATATAGTTAGAATTGATGTGGAATTTCAAGAAAGGAGACATTTTATTATGAAACAACCTGGCAGGAGGTGCTGTTGGAAGGTTTCATGATAGGCATATGATTCCAGTCCAGTTTAATGTACGGGTACATATAAATGAATAAAACTCAGAATTCCACCTTCAAAGGGAAATCTTGAGTTTGTACTTGTAGGGGAAATTTCAAAGGTACCATAATTTCCACCAGGTTTGATCACTGGCATATACACGTAGTTGCGGAGATCACTTCTGTTGTTTCATGTATCACACACAAAAATTATTGAAATTACTATTTTAATTCAAAGGATTTGAGAACAGTTTTGTTTCATAGGCACATTCGCGCACTGAACAATATTTCAATAGTATTAATATGCAGGCACATTGCTGCAGTGCAAGGTGATATGATGATATGTAAAAGCTATATGTGGGAGTTATTTGGGATAATATCTTTGGCAAGTGTGGGTGTTTTCTTATTATCCATACAAAGGGAAAGTGTATTTGACTTGTCATTGCAATTCCCGTCAACCTTTCTTTCTCCCTTCCTCCAAGAAATGACCTTTATGTCCAAATAGCCTGTGTCCTTGTCAGTTTCTGTTGCTTTAGTGTGACAACATGATATCCAGTTACTTTTTATCAAGAAGCATGTCCAAATGACTGTTCTTGGAAATGTTTGCTTCCTTACATGCTTTAAACTTGTTACAAATTTTAAAAAGGAAGGACCACTTCTGTCCATTTGCGTTGTTTTTGACCTGAAAGGCTATGTTTTCTAATGAAAAAAGAGAAAAATTCTTAACAGGATTGTGTAACATTTCCTGGCTCTCTCAAAAGTTCCTGTCTGAGAATTGATATTTTTCACAAGTGGTATATGTATTCTATGAGGGGAATATGTATCATTGGAAGATTTAAAATTCTGTTTTTCTTTCAAAAACAATTCCACAGAAGCTTGGAATCACCCAAGAATTTAACCCACCAGTATCGAAAGACCAAATGATAGAGAAATAAATGGAAGTTATTCCATTCAACTACCACCCTACCAAAACAGATCAAGGCAACCGATATGGGCTTAAAATAGATGATGGAGTTGGTCCAAACACTTGTTGGAATTTTCTTTTCATTGAAATTGTTTGAGGAGGCATTTCTAAGAATCTTTAGGATATTCCCAAGTAGAAATAAGAGAAGTAAACAAGAAACAAATGAAATGAACGGTGCGTCCCATTTAAGTGTAAATGTTAGCATAGCCCTGAAGTCATTTGCAGGAGTACTGTACGTGTTTGTTTTGTTGACATTAGGCCACTGTGGGAAAACTGGTAGTTTGATGTGGAAGTCAGCTGTCAGCTCCAAAGATGTTGTCGGGAAGGCTGAGGTGTTTCTTGCACACCACCGCTCACTTTAACTTGGACAGTGACTTTCTTTGAAGAAACTAGCTTTGTACATGTATGCTGAAAACACCTGCATTTGATTCCACATCTTGGATAAAATCATTACTTGAATCAGTATCTGATGAAGGAAGCTTGTCTAGCAGTCTTACATTGAGTTCAGGAGTTTTATGGATGCATGGTTCATGATTAACTAGAGGAGTCTTGTACATGTAGGTTTTCTAATGGTGGACTCTGGCAATCTTGTTGTCTATTACTCTTGGCACTTCCAACTATCATTCACAAATGTTTACTTGAGCTCATTTCAGGCAGGAAGTGCATTAGTTTTCATGCTGATCAACGTGTCACATTCATGAGAATATCTATTACATCATCAAGGTCATTGTTCCCGAGTCAGGTCAAGTAGTTATTTGGATAATGCAAATTAGATTGATTTGTACTTTAATTAATGGTCCACTTCTCTGCTTCCATCTATTTTTCTGCAGGTATCGCATGTACAAGAAAAGTCAAGCAACAGGTTTCCCTGTACTCATCACTCTTTTCTCGGCACCCAACTATCTGGATGTTTACAACAACAAAGGTATGCCTCTTATCATGATCTTAATATTCCATTTGGCAAACGTGAGGATTCATATTCACATTTTCAGAATGCTGAGCAGAGATAATTACAGTTTGATTTTGCAGGTCACGTTTTCGTTCCTGAAATTCAAACTACCATCATCGACTTCCAATTTTCTCTTTGTAATCTAATTTCTGTTTGTCGATGGCGAACCCGAGGTGGATAATGTGAACTACATAGAGCAAGATTTCTGAAATGTTGAAGTTGTCAGTCTGAATTTTTTACTTGTGATGCATCAACACGTTCAATGTTGAATGTTGGCAAAAGTCTGTCTGTCATCAGAAATGTGAGAAAATAGTTTCTGTTGTTTTATTGGGTTTTTCCACACTGGTGTAACACTCATGGAAAGGGTTCCACACTTATTCTCATTTTTCTATCCACTTACGAACTTTACAGCTGCTGTGTTGAAATATGAAAACAATGTGATGAACATTCGGCAGTTCAACTGTTCGCCCCATCCCTACTGGCTGCCCAACTTCATGGATGTCTTCACATGGTCCTTGCCGTTTGTAGGAGAGAAGGGTAGGAAATAACGCTGTCTGGTGTCTCAGCTACAGTATTTGCAGGAATAATCTTAAGATAGATTTTCCTGACAGTACCGAAAATGTAATCTGCCAGCCTAGCAAAAGCTTCCATTCCTACTCATTTTGGCATTTTTCCAGAGTTTGTAAAATTCACCAAGCAACTTGAATCAGGCAGAGTATTTTCCTTTCTTATGATGATTTCAGATTTGATCCTCTTGTCATTAAATTTTTTTGCCTTGAGGTGCTATGCGTCCCTCAGGTATTGAAAACGTCATATCCCACATCACAGCAGTCACCAATTGTTTTGCCATATCTCTGTCTTACGGAATTTATCCACAGAAACAAGGTCTGAAGTTAAGAAGACGATAGGTCTACTGTCAAACAGACATAAACAATATCGTTTGTGAATGCACTGTTCCCTCACTTTCTTTAATTGTGTAAACTTTAATGTGAAAACAGTGTGGATACCAGTGAGTACAAGTTCACATGTCATGTAGTCTGGTTAGAGGTCCCTGTATTATCTTATACACCGTACACCTTTTCCTAGTTTTCCTCTTGAGTTCAAATATTGTGCCATTTATATTCAAGAATTCAAAACCCCTTTTTTTTGTTTTTTAATTGATGCGCTTATTTTTTCTCTCGTCAGTTCTTGAGAATTTAGCATAGCCAAGATGTTGCTACAGTTTTGCTAGAAGCTCTATCCATATCTTCTTGGAACTGAAACTCAATTTCCACAAAATCCAGAAGTTTTTTTCCCCTAGTTATTTTTATCCACAGTTTTCTTGGCCACCCTTTGCCTCGACTCGTTCTTGATCATTTGTATAAGTCCACTGTTTCACCTTACAGTTACGGAGATGTTGGTTAACATCTTGAACATCTGCTCAGATGACGACCAAGATGACAACGAATGCACCCAGGAAGGTGAGAATGGAAACCGATTCCCTGGACTTGCTCTTGTCTCGGGAGATGCTTGTTACCATACAGAAAATGTGCTGGCTTCTGTGCTTACAATCACATCATTAGCAGAAGTGCAAGGCCTTGCACACTTTGCGTATGGTAACCAACCTCCATGCTCCTTCCAGTAACCCATGCATGTCAGTAGATTGGTGCACCAAGTGTCGCAGTATTGATTTTGTATACACGCAGTACCATTCCAGGTACAAGCAGATAAATAGAAAAATGAGCAGTTGTCATCCAACACCTTGACCAAGGTAACGAGTCTGTGGTACCTTGCATGCCTTACAGTGTGCAGACATTGTTCAGAATTTGCCAAAGTACATTTTACAAGTGATGTATTCCTTCTCTTGTAGACACTTCCTCTTCTTTTCTTTAAGTTTGGCTAATGTTGCAGTTGGTCCTACCTGCATTTATTTGTAATTTCCAATTTCTGTTGTGTCCATGTTCAACACACTTGAGAACCCATCTGGATTATTTTCTTGTCTCCTTGTAGGTGAAACTGATTTATAGGTCACTTGAGCTTTTGAGGGTTCTTGCAAATCATTACCGAGAGAAACTCGCACAATTTTACAGGATTGGAATGACTTGAAGTCCTGACATATTTTTAGGTTTACTGTTGAGGTGACTTGTGTCGACTGTTAGTCTCCTCCCTGTCTGTTAGTTTGTCACCTGTCTAGCAGCATTTCCCTACCCTTGCTATCCTCCTTGCCTTTGGTCATCTGCAGTCCACACTTTTTTAATGGACATGGTTTGATGTTTTCTTATAAAAGTTTCCTGTTCATTTGCACACACTGATCAAGAGGGTAATGTTTACTAAGGGGTGTGGTCGTGTGTCAGGTTGAGTACTGCATAATTATATGCAACTCCCTAGCTGATTATTGCCTAATGTTGATTTGTCTACAAGTGTAGGAGTTCTGTATTGTCTCTGTATGGTGACTTGGCTTATTAAATCATCCCATAAGGTTTACTTTTTTAAGAATAAGAAAAATCAGATGGTATGACTCTGAGAATTTTGCAGGAATGACGAGTATTAATAAGCTTCTTGATTCCAAAGAGGTTCTCAATAAAGTTGAGTAGTTGTAGAAATTGAAGTCAGATTTCAGTTTTTTTTAACTACAGGCATTCACTAGGGTTAGTAAGCATGTACACGTATCAGAATACCAACTGCCTGCTCGCCAGGCTTATAACTCATTCCCAAAATGAAACCTCAGCTTTAAAGTTCTATCTGGCAGTTTAACCTTTTTTGATGCTGACTTAAACTGAAACCCTTCTTGCCTTCAAAGTTACCTGTGTGGTTGTTGACCCTGTTTTGCTTGTCTTTAAGTTGTAGAGGATCTTTGTCTTGCTCAGAATGGATTTTTAAAAATATATTTTAGTACTCCTAAGACGTCCTAAGTATTGAGTTAATTTAATGCCTCCTGTTCTGTAACTCTGCCTATTAAGTTGTTCCCTATCATAGTCATAACTGGAGCTTTTCCAAGTAATCCTTTCCCTTTCAAAGGCTCAGAGAGACAGTTCTACCCAATTCTCTTGTGTGCCTTATATTAACTCTTCATACTTCCACAAGTAATGGGGCCGTTATTTGGCAAAGAAAAGGTCATTCATTACTAATTACTCATTAATTGTAGCAAGAGCATTCCATTTGGGGCTGCATTCAAGATTTTTATATTGGTTCAGGTTTAGTATGTACATGCAAGTGTGCTAAAATATAAAATTGTGGGAGTTACCATGGAAAGTCTCCATGGTAACAAGTGTCCTTTGTAATGAAATTGTACCCTGGAGAATGTTTGGACCTTTCTCTATATTTCCAGGTTGTTGCTTTGTGTCCAAGCATTTTTTCAGGATTTGGTGGGAAACAGTGTTTTTTAGCACAAGTAGGATAAGATGATTAGATAGCAATGGGGAGTAGTCCAGTTCTTCCTGAACAAACCATGAGGGAAGACATCACAGAAAAAGCACTGAAGTAAAATCCCCAAACTGCCACTAAACAAAGTACCTTGGGTAAGATTTGTCAGGATGTTTTTTCTGGAATATCCTGAGGTTAACATCAGTGATGGAAATAGCTGGATTCATATCGCCACAGTGCAGGTGGCGAGCTCACAGCACGGATCAGAAACCAGCCCCCGACCCGCTAATGTCTTCACAGCAACAAAACAAACTCACCCCCAGTTTCTTGCCCTAGTTTTGTGTAGCACGAGGCCCGCGGATCGTGGGGAAACGAGGTTGCTGCAATTTGGTGGGATTATATAGCACGTGTAGTTCGGTACAGTGTGGTTTGAGCGCACACATGTACAAATGATAATGTGAAGGAGTGCCTTGTAGTAGGCAAACAGAAATGTATGTCATAGACCCTACATTGATGTGGCCTCCTCATAACCTTCAATGTTTGATTTATGGATCTTTTATTCTCATCCAATCTCATCCCTGAAGCACTCACAACAATCTACATGATTTCAGAAATCCTGCTCAGTCTATGTAACATGGTAAAACTCAGAAGTATGTTTTCACACAATAGGGTTAAGCACATGTGATCTGGTCCATGAGTCTTTGTTCATTCAATATCATTTTTCTGAATGTTCAAAACTTCCATCCATAATACATGCACATTGATATACAAATTTAGTGGGAAGTAAACGTGAATGTTACGTTAGGTTGGCTCGACTGTGGCATATTGTCTCATGCAGTGCCAAGGTCATTGAAATGTATTGTTAAGGCTGGGCGTGTAAAACAGACCAAAGATTTTATGTTCTGTTGTTTCAAAGAGGGTTAAGATTGAAGTCATCTTATGATTCTTAAGAAGAGGTGCCTTAGTGCGGTCCATAATTACTTCAGAATAAAAAAAAATTCATGTTTTCTTTTTGTGGCAAGATTTTTCGCACACATAACAGCAAAACCAAAATCATCGATGTTGCCAAAAAGTGGAGTGAAAATGTGAATTGTGGCCTTCCAATCCTTACCCTGGACCCCACCCACCTTTACGTGAACCTACCACAAAGCATGGTTGTTCCGCAAAGAAGGTAGCTATTTGTATTGGGTAGTGTCAGAACCAGAATCGACACCTTCCCCACTCCTTCCCATACATGTACCCTGCCTAGTGTGCAGAAATGGTTATTGATGTCAATGACAGCTACATGTAGCTTACCATGTGTATCACCCGTGTCCAATCCTCACAAATTTGATCCTGCACAATTCCCTGCACAGCGTGAAGTTTGAACATTGTTTTGATGCAGTCAAATGTCAAATGCTGTAAATTGTCTGTCCCTAAATTCTGCTCAGACAGAAATTTCTAGATAAGTTTTGTATACATGTAACCCCCCAGCGTACCAAAATTTCCCCAAACCAACTTCAGACTCTGCCCAAGAGTCCTTTGTATTTCATTCATACTTACCATGTACCTACTTGGTCTGTTCGACCCACAATTCCCCTACTTTAGGTCGCGAGGAGAATGCTGACCAGGGTAAGTCCATTGCTAGTGTTTTGTGACCACCTCAGTCTCTCCATAAAAACACAGCAACCCATACTCAACAATCCCTAGTAGTTTCCCACTTCCAGAACAAAGCACCATTCCTGCATAGTCTAGAAAAAAATACCTGATGCAAACCATTTCCTCCTTCATTTTTAGAATTTTTAAACATCACTTCACATCACTTATTAAGTTTTTCCCCCTCATAAGTATCCATTAAAAAATGAGTTATTTTATATCTCAAATTCCAAGTGCACTGTATGTTTTTTTTATGGTCAAATGTCTTCAAAAATTGTACTTGTAGAATGTAGTGATGGGTAGGAACCCAACCATTCACCCACTCCTATTATGCCTATTATGTTAACTCTTAGCATCATAACCACCGAGAAAGTGTTGAACATTGCAATCATTATAGGGCCCATTCATTGGTTTGCCCTTTGACCAGTGCTAAGAACCCATGTACATGTACAGTATTATTCACATTAGCTTTTGAGGTTCCCCATGGTGACCATTATATACATGTAATGTGTTTAGTCCCACCAACTTAAACACCAATCATATACATGGTATGGAAATGCCCTTCATTCACTCTCAAGGCACCCTTTATACATGTAATCCATACGTAATACCCTTAGACAGCAGATGTGGAACTCAAAGACACTCATCTCGTATCATTCTTGCCAAACTCTTTTGAGGAGTAACAGAGTAATCTTTGGAGAACTTGATGCTTGAAGTATGCACTCAGCATTGACAGCTGCTGGCTGAGAGATTATGCTTACAGGGTTGTAATTCAAAGAGAAATTGTTGGCCCAGCTGATAATGTATTAAATTGAAATATATTTTAAAGCTTCATTCTGAGAAGTTTTTACTTCAGATGGCAGCCATGATGACAAAACTTTTTTAACCTTGTTCACAGGAAAAAGCCAGTCATGTAGAGACTGTTGCTTGTATGAAATGTTTGCATTGTTTTTGAATTGGGCAGCCCGAATTTGGTTGCCCATGGAAGCTAAAAATCTTACAGTATGGTGCCTATAAACCATTAAATGGTTGGTTGTACTTGTAGATGTACATGTACTTCCAGGGTGCATGACCAAGATGTCTGCCAGATTTAAGGGGTAAAAACCATATTGTTTAAAATGAGCACTTGTTGAATTCAGACTGAAAGCCCTGATGCTTTTGGTAGTTATGTAATCCAGTTATTGGAAGTTGTTGGACAGTATTACCCATTCCACCCCTACTGTGTCCCTGAAGCTCCAGCCCCAGTGTCGTTCTTGTGTTGAGTGCTTGCCTTTTTTAAACAAAGTTTGAGCCCAGATATGTCATGGTCTTATCAAAAGTGCAGAATCAAACTGGCTGGTGGTGGTTGAATGTCAATGAAGCTGTACGTTGTAAGATGTAACGCAACGTCAGTGCACTTTAAAATGCCAGCGTGGTCGGCCCATATGTCTAGAAACCAGGTTCATTATTCAGAAATGAGCAGAGCACTAGCCACAGGCATATTTCATTTGTGAAAGTTTAGCTGGTAATTACCCCACGTGTCAAAGACAATTTGTCGGTTTTTGTAATTCTGTAGTTGAAATTACTACAGGTCTGGAAGAATCCATTTTAAACAAGTGCCTGTATCCCTTACATAGCACTTGCAATCAGAGGCTTTTTTTGTGAAATCCTTTTGTGATGTAAATTTGAATGTTCTGCGTGTATGTAGACGACACATTTTTTTTCTCCTGTACACACAATTTATTCATTTTCTGTGGACGTGCGCACCCTTTTATCATGCAAACAGCTATCCACAAACGCAATGCATCCGTCAAAGTCAATGGTAAGTTGTTGCTACTTGCAGAATGCTTGAACCCCTCCTCCCCCAAACCTGTTGCTCTCTCCACCCATCCCCTTCACCAGCTTCCTCAAGAAGGTTTGACAAAGTGGTTGGGAAACCAACATATCGCTTCAAATATTAAGTCAAGCACGGAATCACTATTAACATGTAACAGTCGTGGGAAAACCCTGAAGTAAAGAAATTTTTTGGACGTTAGGTTTTTAGATTAAAATCTCGCATTGGTTGTATTGAAACAATAGTTCGTTCTCAATATGGACATTTCATTTCAAATGCTCTCAAATCTCCGATAGAACACAAATCAACCTAGTGAAAGTTGCATTTTATTTTCAATGGTTCCTCTGGTTGATTTCTTTCAAGGGAAATATCTGTCTCAAAGTTTTTTTATCCCTTTTCCTTCTGAAGGTAGTTACCGTCCAGTCACACGCTGTCTTATCTTTGTCCCTGTTCAATCCTGAATCAAGCTTTGTATCTATTCCTTTCTTATGTGCTACTTCAACTTTCAACAAGACAAACCCCCCAAAAGTCGTGTATGGTTGGTTTCCTTCTCCATTTGTTAACCTCTTCAGTTATGCTTTCTGGCCATGATTAAGCACGCTTTTTGGCCCTTCATGAAGTTGTATCTTCAGCTGACCCACTGTAACATGAAGTTTGTTACCATGCAGTTGGAAGCAACATTTTTAACCCTGTTTTGTTCATGTTGAGAATGAATTTGTTCGTTTAATGCAGAGAATTAACACCTGGTATTAATATTGTTAATACTAATAGTTTTATGTGCTTCATTTTAATGATATCTTCATAGTTCTTTTCAACTGGATATTTTGCTTGACTTTATTTTTAGCTGAGAAAAAATTGTTATTTTTAAAACATCAGGTCCTTATTCCCGTGAATGACATTTGACATCAGTTTTTACACATTTGAAAACTTTTAAGCCAGCCCTTCCATTCAAAAACTCTGGTGTGTGCATGTTTTCTAAAGAGCGCCCTCGTGTGCGTGTGTATTGAAATACCCTTTAAAGTACCCAGTGTGTTGAAGTAATCCAAGTGGATCACCATTACTTGTACCAGACATGTTATAATTTTGGTCCATGCGGATTATGAATGAAGATTCATGTACTTTTCAGCGGATCAAGTCATTGGTGATGTGACATATCTACTACCTTTCTACATTTTCTGGCACCTGAAGCTACTGTGAGACTTTATTGGCAGATTTACACTTGCATTTGGTGTGCTTGGGTACCAATGTTTTGACCTGGTCCCAATTTCTTGCCAGTGTCTAGTACATTGTAACTTGTGGTTGAGGCCTGTCCCAGGTACCACAGTGTAATGCATGGGGGCCAGGGAATTAGGCTGGTCCCAATATGATATAACTTTGCCACACTGCATAGTGTCATTGTATATCTTCAGGATATTACCATTGCTACATTTTCAAAGGTATTCATTTCAGCTTCAGTAATTACTTCCTACACTTGTCAGTGTCTCTTTTCTACAACATACAAGGAATCGACATCCGAGGCCAGCATACATCACTAATCATGCCTGTCTGTTATTGCAAATCCAGGTTTAAATTTATGGTGGATTTCTTAGCAGCCTTGGTGTCACCGAGAAAAAAATGGATAAGCCCAGGAAAAGAAACCTAGCCATCGAAAATGGGTGTAGTCAACATACTTGTATTCTCTTGATGTGGGCATTGAGATATCTGTTGTGCTGACACGCTAAAAAAGAAACAGAACCTCTTTCTCGAAGTTTCTCTTAGCTCCGTTTGAGGCATCATGTAATTATTCTGTGAGGATTGACAACTGTTTTGGCAATGACAGACAGAAAAAACTTGTGGCTCTAGGCAAAAATACACCAGACAGAGAGAATACAAACTTGAATGCCACTGGTGTTATTTGCCCAGTAGCAATACCATGATTGCTTGCTTTGTACATGTTCAGATGGCTCTCAATCCTTGCTATATGTGTGAGCAAAGGGGAGCTCATTGTGTGCTGATCCAGTGGGATGTTGTCAGGTAACACCTTAACTTGCCCATGGCCTGAGTTCATTCAGTGGTCTTATAGTGTCTTTGCATCGGTCAGAAACCTCAATGTAGAAATGGTGCGTGTAAAGATGTCGTGATAAAATGATTAAAGTCCTCCCCCCGAAAAAGGAGAGCATTCAGTGTTGCAAAATTTTACCGGAGCAAATTTGGCGTGTTTCAGAATGTTGCAGTTACTTCAGTTTGAGTGCACACAATCTGGGAATATTTAAGATGTAGCAATTGGTTTCAGCTAGTTTTCAATATAGCAACAATTCAAGCAGACTTGTGAGACATGAGGGGCGGATGACAAGTCCCCAACGGAAGGAAGTCTGTCTTTCTTATGATCTCATCCAGGAAGTTGTGCAGGTTATGAGCGGCTGATCTGTAACTGTGACACATCATAGTGTCGCTTCAAGGGTCTTGGGTTGTTGCCAGGTAGTTGCCAGGTCTTGCAGGTTGGAACCCGTAGCAAAATGCAGAATGGACTCCACCAATCCCAAGAAAACAAGAATAAATCAAACCTGATGAAAAGCAGAAACCAAAATTGTAAGAAATAAACAAAACCAACACTTTGAGGAGACAAGATTCAGTTGAGCCCTAATGTACTTTTACCACAGTTGTACCCTGCTTCCGTCTATTGTGGGCAAGCTACCTCAAAATCGCCTTGAAAACAAGTTAATTGTAAACTTCTTAGGTATAGTTACAAGCAACAGCTTGTTTGGCAGAAGAAAAAGGTTTCTTTTCATCAAGGTTGTCTTTGGTTTGAAGCCAGTTTTTTCAGCACATGATTATTGTCAGCCATTTCAATTTGAATTGTGTAAAACTATTATAATCAAGTTCAGTTTTGAGTTTCACCGGTTTCATGCAGCTTGCAAGAATCATTGCCATCTACCCGAAAGTGATCACCTGACACCTTGCTTGAAAAAGAATGGTTGAACAATTTAACAGCAGAATGAACGTGTTTGAATAATGATGTCAGCTAATCCAATTTGTGTTGATGCAGTTCACACTAGTCTGCCTTTCAAGTATTATTTGCATTGGCAAAAAATTAGCACCTTGTACAAGTTGTTAAAAATAATCATGTAATTGTTGCCAATGAGTGCAAAAGATAAATACTCAATGCATTGGAGAGCTTTACAACCCTGTTACCAATTTTTCAAATGTGTGAATTTATTTATTGGAAAACATGATCTTTATCTGCCATATCAATTTTTTTTGGTGCCATATTTTATTTTGTACATCATGAAATCAAGTTGCAGAGTTGGTTATGTACACCTTCAAAGTGAAGTTACTATGTAGGAAGAGGTGTTAATGTCCGTTGCTCTCAAAGGGGAGAAAAGTGTACCTATTTTCATTTTGAGTTAAGTACATTGTCTTAGATTTGTCATGCTCTTTCTCTTCCAGCTGCCTCGGCTGCAGCACGCAAGGAAATCATCAGGAACAAGATCAGAGCAATTGGCAAAATGGCACGAGTCTTCACTGTTCTCAGGTAGGATGAAATGAAATGTACTCTAGTTGGTAACATGAAAAAGGTCAGGGCAAGATGTGTTGAGATGTCCTCAAATCTGCAAAAAGAGGATGTCAGTATGTCTCCGTTTGTTTATTTGAAGACTGAAATAATAACATTTAGTAATAGATATCTGGAAAGTTGAAATTTTTATGCTGAATGAAGAAAATGTGATTATTAACATCCACTGAAACTTGTTTGTTTTCAGAGAAGAGAGTGAGACAGTGTTAACACTGAAGGGACTGACACCCACGGGTATGCTACCAGCAGGCATCCTGTCTGGAGGCAGAGATACCCTCAAAAATGGTGAGTTGACCTCTCAGCCACTCAGGGAAGGACTAAAGAGGCATGGAACAAACAACACTGTTGTCATTTCAAGGTTTAAGGTGTGCTCAGAAGTCCAAACTTTGGTTGAAAGGTTAAGGATTGGATTTAAAAACGAGGTTGAGGCTCATCTTAGCTACCTCAGTCAACGTTGACATGCATGTACATTTCTCCTTTGATTCAGGTCTCAAGACCTACATCTAGACAAGAGTTTCAACTTAATTGCTATTGTATTATACAGTCCATAAGAATTAAAAACAATTTTTGGATATTGAAAAACAGTTTCACTTCTGCATTCTAATAAAAGATCCTTGCACATCCAACTTAGTTTTTAATAGGTTCCTCCTGGGTTTGGTGTTTTTATAGAATAATTTATTTGTTCAGTTCCTTGTCTATCCTGGATAATTTGTGTTCTTTTCAGAAAGGTTGTTATCCCCAATACTGGGATTTACCCTCACACAAGTACAGTGACTAAGTTTGTCTCGTTTTCTCTTGGTATCGTTCCTTCCCTCCTCCAGCAATGGATTTTCACAAGATCAGCGGCTTCGCTGAAGCCAAGGGCTTAGACAAGGTCAACGAGAGAATGCCACCTCGCAAGGATTCGCCCACACCCCCCAACAATACAGGCCCCTCCCCTGCATCATAGACCATGATACCCATTCATCTTCCCTTAGATCAGAGAAAGAAAGAGAAAACCAACCAAATCACAACCCTTCTGTGCTGCAGAGAGAGTTAACAACCACAGACAAAGGTGAAAGCGATGTGGAATGTTGTTCAGGCTCTCAAAAGGTTAGGATGGTAATATACATATAGGTTGTCACAAAGCTACGTGGGCTTGGTTGAAAGGGCAGTCCTCATCTACAGTGTACAGAATTCGGAACAGCAAAGTGTGTGGTATGCCCCCGTGTACTTTAAAGGAACAATGTATAAATTTTAAATGAGTTTCAAAACCGAAAATGTAACGTTTGTCTCTCTGCCATTTGATGTAAGACACGAAACCTAATTATATACCTCTTGGTAACAGGACTTTTACTATTCAGGGGGGGGGAGGAAGTGCACAGAAAGCCCATCAAACATGAAAGGTTTGGAACGATGATATATACTGTAATTTTTGGAATATAAGCCGCGGCTCATACATTGATTCTCACGCTGAAAAATGTCTCTGTGGCTTATACCCCGGGCGGCTTATATGGCAAACTTTGAAGGATAAAGTCAGTAAGTGAAGCCGCGCCCGGGCCACGCATAACACGTGCAGGTGGCGCACTTATGTTTTCGTTGTTTGCCGTTTACATCTGAAAATCCAAACCTCGAATAATAAAAATTCGAGTTGTCCAGATTCGAATTACATTACAAATGGAATTACCTGAGTCACGGAGTCAGGAAACACATACCGACTTGATATATACGTAATCTTAAACTTTATCATGTTTACTTGCCCTGTGGCAAGTTCTTTTAGTGATTCTTTCCTGCTTTTTATCCAATCTCGTGTATTTTTTGCATACAAATAATCATTTTACTAAGATTGTTTTATTGTTGACACCTAAGATTCCTTTCTGCCGTTAATAAAAATCAACCGCTTCGCTTCAACATGTTCAACGGTTTACCTTCGTGTGGCAGATCTGTCATCTTTTCATCTATTGTGTTCAGTGTGACATGCTTCAGAATTTCGGGGGGTTTTCCTGTGGTCACGTGGTTATCGGAAAGAGTCAGTGATTGGATTGTCCACGAATGGGTGTGTGGTAGCAATCAGGCTAGTTGTAAATTGGATTTGCGTGATAACAGTGGTGCCGCGTCTCGTGCAGCATATGTACAACACAAGTGGTTCCAATGTGATGACTCAAACTAAGGTCTTGCGGCAGATTTTTCACACGTTTGCTTTCTACTTTTATTAGGATTGCATGTGTAGCAAAACCATTGACATACTATACATGCTATATTGGCACTTCAGCACACAGCAAGATGTTCTTCATGGTTGAATGTCAGCACTGTGGTGTGGGTTGTATGGCAACTTTCAATCTTAATATGCCGATTTTACATGCTGCGGCTTATACACCAGGCGGCTTATATCCCAAAAATTACAGAAACAGGTTTCTGACCATAGCATTTTGAAAATCCTCAAATTTCAGGATCCCTATATCCCAATTTTGGGTCTTGAGCACAAGTCCTTTCGTTATGAAATGGATATATATATATATATATATATATATATATCCCTTCTGGATCTCTCCTTGTAATTGGGGAAACAGTTGCAAAAAAATTAAAGGAGTTATTGCCAAAGTTTCTGTGAAATCAAACAGTGGGGAGAAGTGTGGCTACATGTAGTATTGTGATGTTATTGTGAAATTGTCTGAAATCACAAACACTAGAGAAGAGACTACTGACCAGGAACAAACAGGGAAAAAAATTATTACTGGACTAAAGTGCAATTGAGATGTGTTTCTGTGCAGGTGGATGCATACTAGGGAAAGTGTCGCCATGACAACTGTCTCAGGTGCATGAGTAGTAAAACGCTACTGTAACCCCCTCCTCTTTTGTACATTGTGTAAGACAGAATTCCTCTCTTCATATTGATTACAATCTATAGGTATTTACATGTGAGAATAATGTAAACCAGTGGTTCTAACAGTTTTGAATTATGCTCTCTCTTTAAGCCTTAGATATTAGCTCTCTGAACTTTGGAAGCTGTGATCTTTTTTTTCGTTTTTGATGGTGGAAAAGGTGTTGACTGCAGCCTTAAATGTGTATGGATGTACAATATGTATACAGTCAAATATGGTCATTCAAATAGTGGGAAGCATAGATCTCTACTATGCACAGGCAGATTTCACTGAGGGTAAGAATTAGCAGCTAAAGGTTGCATGTCAAGCATTTAGCTGGTTACCAGCCGAAGAGTGCATGTCATGCATTGGGCTGGTTACCAGCTAAAGGGTGCATGTCAAGCATTTAGCTGGTTACCAGCCAAAGAGTGCATGTCATGCATTAGGCTGGTTACCAGCTAAAGGGTGCATGTCAAGCATTTAGCTGGTTACCAGCCGAAGAGTGCATGTCATGCATTAGGCTGGTTACTGGCTAAAGGGTGCATGCCATGTATTGGGCTGGTTACCAGCCGAAGGATACGTGTCATGCACTAGGCTTTTGTATGTTGATTGTGACGAGATATGGAAAGGGGCTGCAACCACTGGGCTAGTGGATTGAATAGACCCATGTGTTAATTCTAGATGAATCCATAATGTTTGGACATGGTCTGCCTTCTACCGGTAGTTGGTTCACAGTGAAAGAAGATTTGGCAAAGTTGTCTGGTAAATTGGCACTCACAGCTGCGGTTGGGTAGGGTGTTTAGTTGTGCAAATAATTCAATTCACAGCTTGAAAACTTGGCGTAGTGATTTTGCCAAGAGGAAGACTACTTCTGTACAGAAATCAGTGATATACAGCCTGGTATCAAAGCACATATTTCATTATGTGTGTATTTCTCCTTGGAGTGAAAGAAGGAATTAATTTCTCATCAGTGAAGCAGATGTCTTTGTACGGATTATTTTGGCTATGCCGGTCATAGCTGCATTTTATGATTCCTGACTTGTTGAAGTGGTTGTCTGGAATTGCCTGGGTACGATAAAACAAAGATGTCTCACTTGTGCAGCTGCTTTCAGCTTTCCAATTTACTAGGGAAGAAGTTTGCTTGCTCAAGATGCAATGTAGAAAGTGAACAGATGTATAGCATTCTTGTGGGTCAACGGTAAAGTACAGATATTGCTCATTTTTGGCTTCTATTTGTAGAAAGATTCAGGCTGTGTTTATGACTAAAGATCAGTTTAGCTTCAAAGGGATTGTTGGTGAATTCTGCGTAAGTTTTTGCCAAGAGCTGTGGTTGTAACATGGTCTGTTTATGCTTACATATATTTGATCTTGGGAGATACCTTTTGAATATCCTTGCCCACAATAGGCTGGTACCTATGACATAATGGTTCAGTGTTGGTATTGCATCATTTGATTATTGTCTGGGGTCAAGACATTGTCTGGAATCTGGGTGTGCATATACTGTGAAGTAGTGCTTGGGATGATAGCTGTACTAGTTTTGCCACACATTGGGTAGTTACGTTCAGCCTGGAAGTGTACTGTATGGTATACCAGCCAAAACAAAAAAGAAAACAAGAAAACCTTGTGGCTTTTGAAGCAAATGTTTGTTTGCGCTGTCTGAATTGTGCAATTTACTCAAAATTTACCATCTTGCAATTTTTATTTTGTGGGTTCCGTAGTTGTAGCCAACCATTCGCTAACCGATTCAAAAACTATTTGATCCTTTGAAAGGTGTGTTTGTCATATTGCACAATTAATACCTCGTTTGGGGGATGGTTAAGCACTCCCTGCTTGTAAATCTACCCTGATCTGCATGGCATGTATACAGCTTGAAGCATTGGTAATAATGTTCATTACAATATTAACAACTAGCTTGTAGTTCATGTCTGATCCTCTGTACATTAAAAACTTTTAACGTGAACTATGAGGTAAAAACTATAGGATCTATGTACATTTTTAAGTGACCTTTATTATTGATATATGATATAGTTTGGGCTTGTTGCTTTTTTGTTTATATTTTGTTGGTTTATATATTGTGTTGGAGGCTGGTCTATGCCTCACTTGGAAACGTGTTTTGATGGCTTGTACGTACGTTAACAGTGTAACCATCATGGATTTTTCAATCCCCAAAACTTTATGATCAACTGATCAATCTCTGTAATGTATGATTGTATGGCTATGCATAGCTGAGATGTGTATGTATGTATGTCTACAAAGGGTCAAGAAAAACTTATAAGAATTAAAAAAAAAAGTGTTGTCCGCCTGCCCAAGGATGCTGTAGGCTTGTGGGTGTTAATTCAAATTGAACAAGAAAGAGTTCTATATGGTTAAAGACTTTATAGCTCTCCCTGTAAACAAAAAAAATTTACCTAGCAACTGTTAAGCTCTTTTAATTACGCATGGCTAATGTTACAGTGAAATTCATAAGTAGTTGTTGTGGAGCAATGTATGTTCTTTTCTTTTTTATTTTTAGTCACAAAGTAGTGGCTAGAATGACAAGTAAGTAAAAAGAAACTAGTTGGTAGTGGAGTTGCTTCTTCAGACCGTTTCAGGGGTTTGGCAGAGTGAATGGATATTTTGGCTTCTTGTGGTAAATGGTATTGCAGACAGTGGAGCATTTCCTGTATTAGGTGTGGACTAGTTAATTGTATGAAATACCTTCTGTGTATTTTTGCTTTCCTCTGTTGTTTTTCCTCTCTTTTGACAAAGCTGTACAGTTTGAATTATTGTTATTATATCTTAAGATTTAAGACAAGTTGGGAAAAACATTAACTGTATTGGAAGACACGAAAATTGTTGAATGTTGTAACTCGTAGAAAAGCGATGATGCACTAAAAAGGGAAAAAAATGTTTCTTTTTAATATTTTTATATTGCAATGTTGGGGATTGAATTTAGTGACAGAAGTGTTTGGGCTGCTTGTGGTAACGGTAGCCCATGTACCTACCTATAAGCTACTTGTTTCAACATTCGATAGGCCTTCCTTGTTATTTCTCTCTCTAGATGTAACAAACTTATATCATGTAAACTTTTTGAAAATTGTACATGTTAAATGATATAGTATGGGGGTAGGTTCTCACTGCCTCTTTGATAGCACAGCATGTCTCATCAGGGGAAAAAGGAAGGAAAGAAACACAAAAGTTCTATTCCTGTGTACTTCTCTAAATGGATTTGAGAATAAATGGAGATGGAACCTGTGGGATTTCTTCAAGAACCATAAGGAAGATTAATATTGTAATTGGTCAAATTTGGGGCTTTATTTATCCTGTGATAAGGAGTCAACAACTGTGAAGTCATAACAGCCTTTTTATGGTGTCAATTTAAACCCAGAATGGATGAGAAACACTGTCCTTTGCTTCAAGTTCCCCGTGACCTACCATGATATAGTTCATATGATTAAGGTCACTTTTTTCCTTAGTTGTGAGTAGGTTAGGTTTAGATTGGATGTAATCTGTAGTACTGACTGGTTTGCATAAAGTTTCTCATTGTAACTTATCTCAAAGTGGCATGTTGGTGTCCAAGTGTTGAAAACATTTTAAGCACGCACAGATAAGCTTTTTGGGAGTCTGAATAAGAATAATGTGGGACCTTTGCAAGTTCCAAGTTGAATACACATTAATGAAAGATGTATTGAGTGTATTGAGTGAAATTTCCTCTTATACTGAAGTGAATGATCAAAAAGTAAGAAGTTGTCCAAAGAAATCACCCTTGTTGGTTGGAGATTTTTTCACAAGATCCTCCAGAGTCATTCATAAAGCTTCATCTCAAGAAGCATTTTGGAACTTTTTAAATCCATTTTCAGAAGACAAGTGCACTTTTCTTCACTTTTCCCTGGAGACATTCTGTGTTTATTGTACTTAGGTTGCACTTGGGGTGTTCGTAAAATAAAAAGATTGAGTGCTTTGTCAATTACAGATTTTTTCCGTGTCACATTTTATGCACAGAGTGTTGAAGCCACGATTCTTTTAACAAAATGTTTAAGAAAATTGGAATGAATGATTCCCATTGGTTGGTTTATCATATGTACAGAAACAAAATTCATCAACTAGACATTTTTGACATGATCTTAATCTATGGATCCAATTGATTCAACACCCTTATATCATCCCTTCTTCCCTCCACCTCTTTTACACTTTCCTTTTCAGCAGTTTATTCAATAATTTAGTTCAGAAGTTTAAGTTTACATGTGTCACAAAAGCTGTTTAAGTTAACCACACTTTTTAGATATGTATTGAAGCAAACTTGGTCCGTTTATGTAGACCAGATGGTGGCTTTCTTTTTTCCTTCAGCACTGCAACATTACTTGATTGTTATTCTGGGTTGGACTTTCCATACTTGTGATGGAAAAACGTCAGTATACATATGTTGTACAGAAAAACCAACTAAAGTGAAACTTACAGACATGAAACCAACTAAAAAGTCAGTGTGGGGATAATAAACAAGGGAAGAGGTCAGATTGGGGATAATAAACAAGAGAAGAGGTCAGAGTGGGGATAATAAACGAGAAGAGGTCAGAGTGGGGATAATAATTCACGTTCTAATGAGTTGTTCCATTTTCTAGTTAGAGTTGGGCTTTTAAGCAGGGTCTGTGATTTGCTTCTTCAAGAATCTCAGCATTTTATAAGTACATGTAATGTCAGAAAGATGGGAGATCACAGGATTTATGGTACTAGGGCAGTAAGAATTTCCAGTAAGGAATGATTTTGTGTCGGGTTATAGTATCGGACTGCCTAGACCGTTGGCTGGTCTTGCATTTTTCCCTTGATTTACAGCCTGCATTTCCTGTAGAGAAATTCACAAATACACTTGCCACAACCAAGTGTGAAATAAATGTCCTACATTGAATCAACTTGTAGGTCCAGGCCACTTTATTCTTTTCATTTACAGCAAATTTATGCTATGAATGAAAGTTTGAAATCACATCAGTTGTCTTAGCATTAGACCAGGCACAGTAGACTCTTGATTGTTTTGTGTTCATGATTTGGATTTTTTTGGTGATTTTTGAAAGGTTCAAGGGAAGAAGGATGAGAGTTTTCTTTTCATTGTAAGATCGTTACTCATGTGTCGTACTACTACTCAATTTGAACCATTTCAGTGTAACGGATGAAATAAAGTGACTTTTCAATGGGAAATTTGCTTAATTGTGGTTGATTTATTGAATTGATTACCAGTGGGATTTTTGGTGGTAACAATATTTACCCAAACGAAATTTTTATGAGATTTGTTTGGCATGTCATTTTCATATCTGTGCACTTTTTAAAGAATCTCCAGGAAAACCCCTTGCAAGATGGGGATGACATTTTTGGAGAAACATAAGTGTAGCCCCTTGCCAATGTTTTGTGGGGATGAAATGTTTCCAAGTAAATGACAAGGTTATCATCTCATCAATGTTTTTTGAATGAAATGTTCATAATTTTTTGAACTTTTCATTAATTGCTAATTTTGAACAAGATCACCATGTAAACCCCTAATCAATGTTTTGGGTGAACATTTCATAGAATTGGCAGTTTTGCATAATATCACAAGGTTGACCCATGTCAATGTTTTGGGGTGAAATTATCACAAATGTGGGCAATTTTCATTAACATCAAATGAAAGGGTGTTTGATTTTTTGGTGAAATTTGCAAAAGTTAGCAATTTTGGATAAAATTGCAAGGTTTACCCCTTGTCTATCTTTTGGGTGAAATTTTCATCAATTGAAATTTTGGATAAAATCACAAGGTTAACCCCTTGTCAATGTTTGAGGGTGAAATTTTCATAAAATTGGCACTTTGAATAAAACCACAAGGTTAACCCCTTGTAAATGTTTTAGGGTGAAATTTTCATAAAATTGGCGATTTTGAATAAAATCACAAGGTTAACCCCTTGTCAATGTTTTAGGGTGAAATCTTCATAAAATTGGCAATTTTGAATAAAATCATCAGGTTAACCTCTTGACTCTTGTTGATGTGGGATGAAATTTTCATAAAATAGGAAATTTTGACAAATCACAAGGTTTGTCAAAGTTTTGGGGTAAAATTGTCATAAAATTGGCAATTTTGAATAAAATCACTAGGTTGAACCCTTGTCAATGTTTTGGGTGAATTTCTTATGAAATTGGCAATTTTTAATAAAATCACAAGGTTAGCCACTTACCAATGTTTTACGGTGAAATTTTCATAAAATTATCAATTTGAATAAAATCATAAGCTTAACCTCTTGTCGATGTGGGATGAAATTTTCGTGAAATTGGCCAATTTGAATAAAATCACGTTAACCCCTTGTCAATGTTTTTCCTGAAATTTTCATAAAATTGGCAATTTTGAATACAATCACAAGGTTAAACCCTTGTCAATGTTTTAGGGTGAATTTGTTATGAAATTGGCAATTTTGAATAAAATCACACGGTTAGCCACTTGCCAATGTTTT